GGGGAAACCTCCAAAAAAATTACAAATTTAAAAATCGCTAATTTTCGAAATTTTTTCAATTTTTTTTACTAAAAACTGCCGTAACGTCTTCAAAAATGAACATATCAATATAATTTTTTTTATATTGATGCTTGATGTCTTTATCTATCATTTCGTATATATTTTTGGTAAATCTGACACTTAACCTGCCCACAGGGGGGGATTTAAAATGACAACTTTTTCACAAAAAATTAACTTTTTCAACTTAACTTTTGAAAATGTTCCGGAAGGTCTGACACTTTTATATATATCTTAAATTAAAGCTAATGTAATATACTTTAATTTGAAAAAAAAAAATTTGACCTCTGGACTTGTCTTCGTGGTGAAAGTTGACATCAAAGTTAATAAAAAATTACGATTTTTGTAAAATAATTTTTTTTTATATTTTTAACTTAATAATCCTCTAACTTTTTCAAAAATGAACATATCAATATAATTTTTTTTTATATAGATGTTTGATGTCTTTACTTATCATTTGGTATATTTTTTTTGTAAATCTGACACTTTATCTGCCCACAGGGGGGGATTTAAAATGACAACTTTTTTAAAAAAAATGAACTTTTTCAACTTAACTTTTGAAAATGTTCCGGAAGGTCTGACACTTTTATATATATGTTAAATTAAAGCTTATGTAATATACTTTAATTTGAAAAAAAAAAATTTGACCTCTGGACTTGTCTTCATGGTGAAAATGGCTACCGAATGCTATTTTTGTGTGAAAATTTTCGATTTTATAATTTACATTTTTTACTTTAAAGTGCTATAACTTTTTAAAAAATGTATGGATCAATACAATTTTTTCATGAGAAGTAGTATTTATATACATCTTTCATTGGATATACTTTTTTTTTAAATCAGACTATTTCCCTATATATGGGGGGCTTCAAATATAAAAAATGCAAATAGAAAGTAGAACTTTTTCAACTTAACTTTTGAAAATGTTCCGGAAGGTCTGACACTTTTATATATATGTTAAATTAAAGCTTATGTAATGTACTTTAATTTGAAAAAAAAAAATTTGACCTCTGGACTTGTCTTCATGGTGAAAACGGCTACCGAATGCTATTTTTGTGTGAAAATTTTCGATTTTATAATTTACATTTTTTACTTTAAAGTGCTATAACTTTTTAAAAAATGTATGGATCAATACAATTTTTTCATGAGAAGTAGTATTTATATACATCTTTCATTGGATATACTTTTTTTTTAAATCAGACTATTTCCCTATATATGGGGGGGCTTCAAATATAAAAAATGCATATAGAAAGTAGAACTTTTTCAACTTAACTTTTGAAAATGTTCCGGAAGGTCTGACACTTTTATATATATCTTAAATTAAAGCTTATGTAATATACTTTAATTTGAAAAAAAAAAATTTGACCTCTGGACTTGTCTTCGTGGTGAAAGTTGACATCAAAGTTAATAAAAAATTACGATTTTTGTAAAATAATTTTTTTTTATATTTTTAACTTAATAATGCTCTAACTTTTTCAAAAATGAACATATCAATATAATTTTTTTTTATATAGATGCTTGATATCTTTACTTATTATTTGGTATTTTTTTTTTTGTAAATCTGACACTTAACCTGCCCACAGGGGGGGATTTAAAAAGACAACTTTTTCACAAAAAATTAACTTTTTCAACATAACTTTTGAAAATGTTCCGGAAGGTCTGACACTTTTATATATATCTTAAATTAAAGCTAATGTAATATACTTTAATTTGAAAAAAAAAAATTTGACCTCTGGACTTGTCTTCACGGCGAAAATGGCTACCGAATGCTTTTTTCGTGTGAAAATTCTCGATTTTATTATTTATATTATATTTAACTTTATAATGCTATAACTTATTGAAAAGTTTATGGATCCACACAATTTTTTTATGAGAAATAATATTTTTTAATAAACCCTTTTTCATTCGACATACTTTATCTTAATCAGGATATTAATAAGGAACCAGCAGATCAAGTAGCTTTTGGAATAAAACACCCAATTTTTTTAAAATTAAACACTATCTAAAGATTTGCATCGACGCGTTTATTTTTGATAGTGATTTTAATCACTGTCAGATATCATTTACTTGATCCAACTATGCCACGTCACCACTGTGCCGCGACCCCCCTGTGCTGGGTTTTTTTAATTTATTTTATATCTGATATTAATTAACAGTTATCATAAGCACAAGTTAGAGGATTATGCAATAATTTTATTTTATAAAAAGAAGAATTAGAAAAGCCCTTCCTATTTTTCTTTTTTAACTGACATTTTCAACAACACTTTTAAATCATTAATAAACTAACTATTTATTAATAATAACTCAAATAATGTAGTTCTGTAAGAAGCATATAATTAAAAATAATTTAAACATAATACATTTGACAAAACTAAATATAATTATCTATAAATATCAAGTCTACACTGTTACAATGTAAGTTGAAATTTTATTATGAAATATTTATATTGGATTTTATAGTATTTAATGCGTCTGTATATAAATTATACATGTAAAGTAAAATTGATACAGTGTAAATTTGACATTTATATATTGTATATTGTTAAATTTAATTTTAACTAACCATTTAATTTAACATAACATAAGCATTCAATTTATACAATTACAGACTAACAATGAATATATTATTTTATATTTTAATGATGAATTTTTTAACGATAACACATATGTATTATTTTGTAAATTGTAAAATAAATAGTGAAGAGTACAAAAAATATGTTATTGAAGTATTAAGCCATATGTGTAATCAACACGGGTGGAATACAATGCCACATATACTTTTAAATGATAGAAAATTTGAAAAATTAACAATAAGTGAAGCAATTAAAGAAAAAGATATAAGTTCTAGTTATATACATATATTTCATTTATTAATCTACTCGCTCAACTGTAGGTACGCAGAAATTGTTTTTTATTACGACCTAATGATAAGTATAATAATAAATAAATGTAATGATGAATTAATCTCGAAAAACACAGAAAGTTTTAAAATTTGTACAATTCACCTTTACGACGCTGTAAAAGATTCAACAAATATGTTTGATAAATTATTTGATGCTATGAAATTTATGAATCAGATAGATTTAAGACTCATACATAAGTCAATAAAGGTACCAACAACATTTGTGAACGAGTTAAAACCATTTGTAGAATTTACACGCTTAAAAGCGGATCAGTTGCCGCAGGGATTGTTAAATGCAGACGAACTAAAAATTTCGCAAGAATTTTTAAGCATAAAAAGTTTTTACGGTAATCGCGAGAAAATAAACATTTTGAAAAATCTTATAGCAATTAATCGAGTTTTTTACTGTGTAAATATTAAAGCTATTGAACCATATTTGCGAATCGTTTACGACGAAGAATATTTCAATTGTTTATATAAGTCTAAATTAATAAAAACTGAAATTATTAAAGAAATACTCCAAAGATTTTACTACATAACAATCGAAAATGATTTTGTTAATTGTGGGTTTATGGAATTACTAGAACCTATTAATCACAAGTAAGTCATTTGTATATACAGTATTATTAGTTAACTTCGGAAAATATTGCCGGTAATTTATTTGAATAAATAACCATAACAATAAAATATGAGTGGTGACGTAGTTTAGAACATAAATTGTATCTTGGCAAAAAAATTAAATAACACTATAAGACACAATCGTATGATTCAGTTTAAAGTAATTAAATTATTAAGTGCACACTAATATATATATATTAGTAGGTGTTTATTTTGTACACCATCAAAGTTTTTTCATTAAAAATAGAACTTTGCGCATTAAAAAAAAAAAATAGGAACGATTAAGAATAATTTTTGTTTAAAAAAATCTGAACATTTTGTTTTTAATTATATCAAATTCTTTTAATAAACTCTTTTCATGCATATTTTCTATACAAAACGTTGGATGTCTCCACATATACCAAGCGTCTCGTGATTGCTTATATATTTTTTTTTAAATATTTTTTCCCGATAGTCTTATATTTTGAATGAAAACACCTAAAAATGTAAAAAGCCACATCGGGCAGTTAGTTTTCTCGTTCATGCAATTTTCTAACGGTCATTAATCATTCATTTATCTTGTGATGCTTATATTAAATTTTAAATGATATTTTTTCATAACTCAACTGATTTTAGTTAGTAATTGTTTAAAATAACAATTTTTATAAATTTCTACCAATGTATGTTAATTTATTTAACATAATCTAATGACTTTAAATCTAGAAGAAAAGAAAATCTAACAATCAAAGAATCAAAACCACTAAAATAATATGGACATAATTTAAGTTTAAACGTTCAAGAAATAGAACTCAACAAATTACTATAAATTACAGTTTTATTGGGCTTTTTTCAAAAATGACACTCTTAGACACCTTTTTCTTCGTCTAAGGTTTATCGTTCAATTTGTTCTATAACAATAGATATTATTGTAGTAATTTATTGTTATAAATTCCCTAATAACATTTTAATGAAAAAAAAATGCCTTTAGAGATATAGAACAATAATATGAAAACTAGAAATCCAGAGAGGCAATCACCCATCCTTTCTCTGATGCAACCATATTTTATCCACTGGATTACAAAAAATATTTCTTATAAAATTTTTTTTTTTAATTCAGTTAAATAAATGTATAGATTATATTAACTAAATTAATTGTTTTTAGACTTATTCCACCACAATTAGAAGATGAACATTTAAATACTGATGTTGTTTTTTTAAATACCATTATGCAAAAGGATGGTTGGAAACTGTTGAATCATATAAAAATTGTATACAACGATCAAAGTCTAAACTTTGATAATATAAAATGTCAAGTAGACAACAATAACAAACATGTTATAAAAACTCACCTAGCCAAATTGTTGAGATGTAGGTACATCGAAATACTTCATATTTATACTACCATATTGAGCTCCCTTATTCATATCTGTAAAAACGAAAAAAAAAATAATACACATTATTTTTTTAATTGCGTTACTCAACTATATCACATAATCAATAAATCTTCTGACATGTTTAATCGTATGTTATCAGCTTTATTAACCATTCGTTTAATAACAAAAATAAATAAAGATCCAAAACCTGAACTAAGTATAGAAAAAGTTGTCGAGAAATGTAATAATTACATCAACAATATATTAAGTAAGTATCCTCCTCAGAAATTTTTTTTCAAAAATCAAGAAAACATAAATATGAGTAGTGCATATGCCCTTTTGAATGAAATTATTATATTCCTCAATGTAATCAAGGAAAAATTACTTATATCCAATTATTATGTTAAAAGATTCTGCATCATAAAAAAAAAAATTTTGGAAATAGAAGATGAAATAAATAATGCTTTAGAAATAAATTTAGTAGATAATAAAAAATCATTTGGACACCTAATTAAACCGATTTGTGAGTATTTCAATATATTTCACGATCACGTTATTAGAGATGATTGTGACAATCTAGGTTTTTCTATTTTGGGTTCAGAGTATTCAATCGAATAAGTATTTTTACATATATTTTTATCTATATAAGATATTTTCAATATTGTATAATTTATAAATTATAAGAATATATCGTATATTGATATTTATTATAAAACCAATAAATAATGTTTTTTGTATTTATTATTTATTTATTTCTTCACTATACACAGTTGAGAATCCATACTAATTTTGCGTAGGTACAAGAATTCCACTTGTAATAGCTTTCTAGAGACAACATTGAATATGAATCGCATAACAATAAAATACAAAAAACGGTAGCACTGTGGTTGAAGCACAGTATGGACGTGGGATAGTTGAAACAAGTATAGATAATATCTGATAGCGATTAAAATCACTATCATAAGAAACGCTTCGATGCAAATCTGTACATGTTTCATTTTAAAAAATTAATAGGTAATCAAAAACCAACATAAACTTCTATTTTTTTAATTATATCCTGATTAGAAGTTCTGTGATATATAAATATAATATTTGAATAAAAATGTACTATTTTAAATAAATTTAGTTTACAATTGATATTCAATAGTTGAATATTGTAATTTTTATTAAGGAGTTCTAAATAACTATAAAGTAGTTGTTACTTTTAAAGCAAATGTTTAAAAAAATTAAATGGCTTGATGCAAAACTTTTCAGAAAATTTTTTTTTATTATAAGTACACTAAACCAAAATATACTTTTCTAACCACATCCTCCTGTGGGCAGGTAAATGTTCACAAAAATATATCAAATGATAAAAAAATACCTAATGCATCAATATAAAAAAAATTATTTTGATTTGTTCATTTTTCAACTATAAAATAAATATAAATTTAAACTTATTTTGTTAATTTTTACACCTCAAATTAAGAAAAGTGACTTTGAATTTTTGATTTAGTTTAAATAGTTCTATTTATCTATACGTACACGTAATGTATGGTGGCTGTATCGTATACCATAAAGTCATATAAGCTATTTTGCATTTTTTTCTTAATTTGTTTTTTTAAGGTGGAAAAAAAATTAAAATGAATAATGTTAAATAAAATTCAATCAAAATATTTAATGGATATCGAGGATCCTATCATTTTAGTCTCCCTTTGTAAGAACGACTTTCTTATTCATATTAAAATATATTACTATATGGTTTATTATTGTGTCTGTCGTTAATTTTTCTCAGCTCTCACTTGACCAATTTTATATGGTTTGGGCGGATATTTTTGAGTATTTGTCCAAGAACCGAAATGCCCTACTCAGGGTGCAGAGGTGGGTGGCGATCCGGACCGTTTCGGCGTACCGAACAGTGTCCAGAGTAGCGGTGGGTATCCTGTCGTCACTGCTCGCCGAAGAACGTTCGCCAGGCATGAACCTCACCTAGAACGTGGCCGACCCCTCAAACCCGAAGACTGGCTGGAACTCAGGCGGATGACCATACTCCGTTGGCGGACTTGCGACTCGGAGGAAACGACGAAAGTCGAGAGAACCAGGTCCCTTATAGGACCCGCCGATCGGTTGAACACTGTAAGGACCTGATGTTGGGGAGCCGAGAAGCATGGAGGCTGGCCAAAGCGTTCGCTGATTTCATTGTGCAAATTTAAATTGATTTATTATAAAATATTTAATTTAACATACGTTTAAATGAAATAAAAAAAACCCATTATTGTAATATTATAACATCATCAGCTTTGCATCAAAGCATATATATATATATATATATATAACAATTATAATCAAATTTTATAATATGCTCAATTGAGTAAATTTTTTAACAACATTTTGATTAGTTTTTTAGTTAAAGTAATTCATAAAAATTAATTAAGTTCTAAATATTTTAATTGTAAAATCTTTTTAAACACCAAAAGTTATTTAAAAATTATTTCTATTTAAGAGATCTATTATAATAAAAATATTGTGCTATTCTGATAAATTTACAGTAAATAGTAATTATACAATTTCCTGATTGCATATTAATCTTAACAATACTATTTTTTTAATTCTCATACAATTTTCTATTTAATAATGTAAATTTCAAACTTGAAGTTGAGCTAAATGTTATGGTAAATAATTCAACTTTTTTCTTATTATGAAGTTTTAAAAAAATAAATTTAAAATAATATTTGCACTGATTATTTTTAACATACCAAAAATCAAAGTCTGTTATAATTTAAAAACAATTTTTTTTAGTTTTTAATTATTGTATTATCTTAATAAATCATTTCAAAAAAAAAAAATTCCTTTAGTTAATCAACTTTAAAANTCATTTCAAAAAAAAAAAATTCCTTTAGTTAATCAACTTTAAAATTATAACTATAAAAATTTTCTTTAAAATAATCGATTGTAATCAATATTACACTTAATTAAAAAAAAACTCAGCACAGTGGGGTCGTGGCATAGTTGGGTCCAGTATAGATGATATCTGACAGTGATTAAAATCACTATCATAAGAAACGC